CTCCCCCCTCCCCATAACCCCCCTTCCCCGTCAGTTATCCCCTTCCGTGACAGTTATTCTCCCTCGCCTTCCCTGTCAGTTATTCCCCACCTCAGGTATCCCCCTCCCCGTCAGCTATCTCCCCTGTCAGGTATTCCCCTCCCCGCTTTGCTTACAGCCTGGCTGTATCCCTCTTAAGAAGTCCCCCTGCCCCGCTTTATCCAGTCCTCCCCCAACCCCTTGTCTCCGTTTCCCCATCCCAGCTGCACGCCTGCCACCTCTTACCAAGCACCTCTTTCCCCGAGCCCTGTATTAGCTGCCTCTTCTAGCTGGTGCCTCCCTCCTGCCAGGCTCAGCCTCCTGCCAGTTGACTTCTCTTTTTTTTTTCCCCCTCCGTCTCACAGCAGGCACTGCCCTGACCTCACCTCCTCCCCCTTCCTGAGAGTGAACTCTTCCCTGCTCCCTCTTCTGCTCACCTTGCCCTCGCTTAGGCCTTCATGAGAAACTTTCTCCTGCCCTGGTGGATGTCTTGCAGCCCCTTTCCTTGGAGAGGAGGAGATCAGCCTTCGCACCTCTGCAAGTGTCGGCTGACTAAACTCCTTCCTGGGGCTACTAGGCCTTGTGGGTCTGGGTATCAGGCTGCTTCTTGCACTGGGCTGAGGTATTGTCTCACATCTTCCTCTCCCCTTTCATCCTGTGGATGGCTGTGTCAGCTGAAGGATGAAGGTTAGTGGTAGGATGCCAGCTAAGAGGGTTGCTGTCTGAGGCACTCTGCTGTGTGGGCCATTATTGCTCTGGGCATATCAAAGTTTCCCTGACGTTACTGTCCTTTTGTGCTGGGTCTGTCAGAGCTCAGATCCTACCTCTTCTCCTGTCTGCCCCATCCCACTGCAACCAACTCCTTCCTCTCTGCTGTTGGCTGTCTCCGTGTGCTGAACCATCTGTCCTAGGGAGTGACTGCTGCTCCTGGCAACTCCTTCAGCTGTAGAAGAACCTTCTTGTTATTAAGTGTCTATTGCTAGCCGGGCTATTTCCTCTTGTTTCTTTTAGGTTTGTAAATATTATATATATTTTCATTTGACCCATGACCTCTTGGAAAGTCAAAGTGAAGAGGAGGGTAGGGACAGCTACCTGCTGAGTGATTGAGTTGGGTCCCCGGCCGTATTTGGATGGGTGAAGTGATTTATGGATGCTTGCAGGAAGGGCCATGAGAATCTTCCTTTGGGATGACTCGCGTATCTGCAAAAATTTGTAGTGTATGAAGTGCTGCTTTTTCATTGACCTTGAGCTTAGAGGCTGAAAAGCTTAGACACATCCGAATGCTTAGGAATTACATTGCCAGTTTAATGATGGGTCCTGCTGCTTTGTGGAGATTCTTAAGTGTTGATGGAGCTTTTCTGAAGGGCACTGGTTTTGAGGTTTGAACTTTGAAGTGTCAGTTTGCAGGGCACTTCTCTGTGCCAGTGTATTACTGCATGCGTGAGTGAGTTAGGGATGTGTGCGTATGTGTGTAGGTGGTCCCGTGAGGGGAAATCCATTCATGCAAAAAATCAACCCCCCTCAAATCCTAGCTATACTGGGACTGCTCAACAATAAAAGGACTGAATTGTTTGCTTTATGAGCGTAGAGGCTTTGTTTCCAGGCTTGGAGCAAGTGCTTCAGGAAAATTGGAAGAGCTAGCTGGGGAAAGCCAGAGAATCTTGGTACTCCCCCCGTACCCTGAAGCACTCTTTGAAAGAGTACTTTTCCAGGAGCTGGAGGCGCTCTTAAGTTACTGTCAGTGTGAATACTGTCTAGCAGATCCTGAGGTCACAACCTGTAGAAATCTGTGACTTGTTAATTTTTGACTGCAAATTTAAAGGCCAGGTATTGCGAAAGTTCTTCTTCTGCCTGTGGAGCTATGTGTTGCAAGAGCAGAGGAATTGGACAAGGGAACTACAGCTAAACACAGGTGGGATGGTCATCTTTCTGCTTCAGGAGGGTTTTTTGAGGAAAGACTGTTATTGTGGATGAGGTGACAGTTGTAACTAGATCCTAAATTTGCAGTCCTATCTGTGGTATTCCAGACAACTTTGGAACAGTGATGGACAAGGGAAGGGTGACTCTGGCTTGGAATTGAGCACAGAGGCACTCCACAAGTGTGATGGAGAAACGTGTTCCAGTCATCCGATAAATGACTAAAAAACGGTCAAGACGATCTCTTATACGTAGCCAAAGTGAAGCCGCTTGTGAGACCGTTGCTGGTAGCAGTAGTACAGATTTATCTTAAAATGTTCCTTGTCACTGGAACTTAATCCTGTTATTTCATGAGTTGGTTGTGCTGTTTAGTTAAGAGCTGGAGAATTGCATGAATAATAGGGAGACAATGTATCTAAAAGTGAATGGAAGTTACGCCGTGGGCGGGTTTGGTTGAAAAAGAAATGACTTATACCCATTTATATTCTCTTGGTGATAACAAATGGACAGACTATTTGGACGGACCTCCTGACTGTAAATCTACATGTGTCCGAGAAATCAGACGCACAATTTATTCTTCTCCAATTAGTTGTATATATTTTCCAGGAGAGCCACAAAGCTTAGGAGTCTTTATTCAAACTTCATACTGGAATCAGTTTCTAACTTAATTGGAGACTGTCAGTCTACTTATATGATGGTGTGGTCAGTTAGTGTTTAAGAAATATTTGATGCTTGTTTCACAGTAGAAGCGCCACATATTTTACATGCTAACTCATGACCTAGGTAGGCATCATACACATGGTGAACACGAGTCTGGGGTTGTGACTGATTGTGGCTAAGGGACAAAGTCTGACCTGAAATGAGAATTTGGGAGTTCTTGATCTTAGACTGCTGTTCCACAATAATTTAAGCTTGCCAAACTCTTTGCTGCTGTAGTTTCTTCCTTCTGAATTCCTAAAAAAAAATTAGCATCTTCTCTGCCAAAGCATGTGTGCATGTGCTGGAAGGCCTTTAACCATCTTAAAATGTTCAGTTGCCAAACCAAGCTCCCTCTAGGCAAGAGAGACACCGTAGACTCATGCGTTCCCATTTGACCAGTTTGTTCCAAGCCATCTCACTGCCTTTCTTTTAATGGTCAAATGCTAAAAGCATGCGTTGTCCTCTTGGGTATGCTAGGCATTAAACAATTTGCTAGTATATAGCCTTAGATACTGATTTTAGTTAGTATGTTTAAAGTCAGTTTTGTCAAATGTATTTTGTTCTAATGTCTGTTTTATTCCACTTTTGCCAACCAAAGGGCCAATTTCATGAGTGATTTCCTTGACCTGTGTCTTCTAAGAAGTAAAGTTAAGGTGTGTTGATCTCTCATTGAGACCTGCTGAGTGACGATCTGTTGGGACACCTCTGAGTTGCTGCAGCTGACAGTGACCTGTCCAGTGAGTTGAGAAGCTCCACAACACACTTCTAATCCTAAAAGCCAGCTTTCCCTCACAGAGATGGCAAGCTCCTGTGTATTTCTGTGCTCCCTCAGCAAATGTCTGTTCTGGAAATCCAGGATGTGTAAAATCTTGTGGTAGAACAGAAAGGATTTGTAGATGGAACTTCAATGGAGAGCAAGTGACTTTAAGGCTCTCTTAAGGAGTGGTAGGATTTAGGGGTTCTGATAATCGTATTTCCCTCTGAGCACCCTGTCTATGCAGTCAACAAGTGGATTTATAATGTATTAGCAGTTTTGTAGTAACTATCTGTCTAGCCTTTATGTTGCAGGAAAGGAAAGATTTGTCATGTGGAACTTGAATAAGCTTTTCTGCCCCTAACATGGGTTAAAAGCATACCCAGGCGATATACTCACCATGTAATGTGCTGTAACGCCATACTCTAGCTTATTTCACAGTAACTTGTTTATTTAGTAGTAAGTTGGCTCCTCAGTGTGGGTTATTTATTGTCTTCTGTGTATAGAATATAGGGGATCCATATCTAATGAACGCATATTTCCCCGTGTGTGGGGAATGACCTTCAGGTCATTTGGTGATCTTCTTTCTTGCTAGATAGACATTGAAAGAAAAGGAGCTGCTTGGAAATTGCAATGACTAGAGATAAGAGATCTGACTAAAATACTTTCAGGGGTCTTAAGAGAGCAGTGGGTCAGTTATCAATTGGTACGTGCCTGCCTGCTTGGCTTCAGCTTGGTAGCAGGCCTGTCTGGGGTCCTAAGATCAAAAGAAAACTGAACTGTTCTTAAAAAGGAAAACAAGAAATCCCTGTCTGGGCAGGGAAGAGGAGTGATTAGTTGGATGCTACTTGGAGAAGGGGGACTGTGGATAGTCAGAGTATGTTGTAGGGCAGTCAGTCTGATAGCAGAAGTATTAGGGCAAGTGGAAAACCTCAGACAAGAACAATATGCTTGGATCTTCTGGAATATTGTCCTCTTGTCTTTTTATGTGCTTTGGGTTAATGCGTCCTTCACCTTTCTGAAAGGAGCTATTTAAGTGCCATCGGTCACTGGTCACAGATTCCTGTAGAAAAGTGTTCTGCGCGTGCTGTATGAAGTCAGGCAGTTTGTGTGTGTGTGTTAGGGTTGTGTAGAGGAGGAAGGGAGTCTGTAGCCTTGAGATTTATGTTAGAAGTGAGAAAGTCTTAGGTTTTGTACAGTGAGCACCAGAGTCCCTCACCTGAGTGGTGAGCTGCTGAGGTACTCTCTGCCCTGTAACTATGACTAGAGAGAATACTTGCATATCTTGGAGGATCTGTTTAAAGACGTCAGCCTGTGGGGTTCCAGCCTAGGAGGAGAAGAGGTGGAGGTGGAGGCTTGTTAGCAGAAAAAGGTGACAGTGGAGGAGCTAGAGGTGAGAGATCACAGATACCATTTATCCCTGAACTTCTAGTCTATCCAAACTTGAAGCTGCTTTTTAAGTTAGCAAGCCTCTTGTCTCACTTCAAGAACCTAGCAGAAAAGTGTGTCTGGAAACGAAATCCTCGTGGATGTCCATAGCAATGTAGCTTATTTTGCACTGCTGGCATGTTTATGTAGTGCTGGCCTTGGACACAAGTAACAGCTCGGCTATCCTGTTTTCCCATGTTTACCTCTGAGCTGCAGAGTCAGCATGATCCACCTGCTCCCCTGTTGGGCGTATACAGGGGCAGGCTCGAGCAGACACGCTACGCTGCTGGTATCTGCCTTCTCTCCTTCAGATGCTTGTGAAATAAATGGTCTTTTCTATTGTTTGCTGCTGGGTTATTCTTAAAGGCAGTTGTTATTTTGTTATGGACTTGGTCTCCATAAATAGGCCAAACAATACCAGTGATAAACGGGCCTGAAAAAGCAGAGGATAGGTATCAAAATCTGATAGCTTAATCATCCTACTACAAGGATTAGTATGAAATATTGATGAGTAAATGCATTCACAGTGCTGCCTCTTGCCATTAGGCCTGGGAGCGGAGCAGCTATTACTTAACATGAGAGTGAGTAAGGTTAAGGACACTTAAAACATGAGGTGCCTTCCTGGGCATGCGTGATAACCTTTTTGGTGCTACTTTTGGAGTAAAAGAAATATGGATTAAATTCATAGATGACGACAAATTGGATAAATAAATGCATACTAGCTCTGGTGAAAGGGACAGTTTCAGGCCGGCAAGTGACATGGATTCTACGGGAACCCTGCTTTATGTGCTAAAACAGATGCAGTCTGACAAAAGGTAAGCAGATTGCACCAGCGTCTGGGGGTATGAGTGGAGCTTCTTCTGATGTGAACTTTTGGCTTACCAGATACTTCTGTTGCAGAAACTAGAGTTGGACTGTGGTGAATTTGGCCCGTTATGTTTACATTTGAGAGGAATTAGTCCTGGTGAAAGTAAGGCCTCATTAGCACTAGCTATGCTTCGACTGAGAACAGACTTGCGGTGCAAAATCATCTCTTTGTCCTGACTTGCCTTGCGTTCAAGGCCTATATTCTCGTTGTGTGCATTTTATCAACTTAGTTCTCATAATACATACAAAACAGGACTAGAGTACAAGTAAGGGCACCTGGTCTTGTGTGATCTGCAGTAGGATATGTTTGTCTTCACAGACCTACAAAAGGCTGTGCCTCTCTTGTGTGTGCTGTATTTGTGAAAACCTGTGGCTACCCTGAAAATTCTGTGTAGGAGCTCCCTACGAGACAACATGATCCTGAATTTATATAGCTTTTCTTGCTATCTGTAGACTGAATGAGATTTCTACGTTTGCTCTGGAGTTGCATAGGAGAGTCAGCTATTTTAGTAAAGCCACCAGAAATTCCGCTTCAGGGAAAAGCCTGAAAACTGCTTTCTAAAAGAAACGTGAATCCTTGGTACTCCCTACCCATGGGGAAACGCCTGCGTGTGCACACAAACAGCTTTCTGAAGCTGCATGGAGCCTGAGGTCCAGGGCTCTTCTGAGGTGCAGGGGCTGTGGAAGCCGTGGTGCGGCTGCGCGGCCCTGAAGTTGCTAACCGTGGATGCCCAGCCACCTGCCAGATGAACCAATGGAGCAGCAGGCAGGGTTCGTTAAAACTTCTCTCTGAACTCAGTGGAGTTATTTGTAATTGTGTTCCTGTGAAATGTTCTTGTTTCAGTGAATCAGCATTTCCTCATTCAAAGGAGGATTCATTTGAAAATTTGGGCCTTGTTCTGCTTGTGAACGCTTGTTGAAGAGAATTTAAAACTACTAGTTTATGTAGGACAAAACGAGTATTTAAAACATGATTTGTCTTTGAAGCAAACTTTAGAAATGTCAAAATGGGATAGTGCCTGGTCTGTGGTATGCAAATGAGGTGAATGACATCATTTCTCGAGAGTCACTGGTACTTTGCTGGGCAGCCTTGCAGAAGCAGGGTTGGCAGAAACACTTTGCAGCTTGAATGTTTTCTACCAGGTGTGGCTAACTTTGTGGGGTTTAAATTATCTAGGTTAGTGCATTAAATATGGAACTCGGCTAGCGATGTGGAAAATGCAAATTATTCCTGGAAATACAGATTAAAAAGATCATCCCTTTTCTCTTACTGATATAATCGAGTGTTCAGATGATAGCGTTGCTTGGTGGTTGGCTATTATGATTTCTAAGGAACGCTTACGCTCTTTTAGTTATCTTACTTTGACTGATAATCAGATGTGGTAAACGAATGTCTTGTGTTCAACTGCAAATTTTGTTAACAACACTGGTCTGAAGAGGTGGCCAAAAAGTATCCGTGTCATATAGCCTGTCAGTGTAATTAAGCTTGTTGGTTTTAGAGTTGGGGAATGGGAAAAGTGAGATTGGATGAAAGTAGGCTGCACATGTGAAGGTGGCAGAAGGGCTGTGGGACAGGATGTGGTCCTAGACTTGCAAGTTCTTTGCTGTTTTGGAAATGCTTTTCTAGACACATGTGGAGTCCTGCAATTCATTTTGAATTTGTCTATAAACTGGGGGTGGCCTCTTAAGTCAGCTTTTCTTCATTCCTATATTGCTGCTTGCCCTTCTTGAATTTCTTGAAGGGCCTTTATACAAAACTTTTCAGTTTTTAGGCACTGTTGTTTTTCAAAAAAAGTGCTTAATGTTGTATATGAATGGCCTAATATGTTTGTATGCTTGCTTTTGTTCACTCCCTTTTTTGTCCTGTAGGTAATTAAATGCCCTTACTGCGGATCTCTGCTCTGTTGGCATGCTTGGTTGCACAGCAGCTCTTCCCATAGCTTCTCTTCCTCTGCTCCACTGGAAGAAGATGGCAAAAGTAAACATTACTAGAGACATCATCCACAGACAGATAAAGGTATGTGTTAACCAAACGTTCTCTTGTGTTGGGTGGAGAGTGGGTAGAGAAGTGGTGTTCACGCTGGGTCAGGAAGCAGTCATAATGTTGCCTTTTACTCCTGAAAAGATCTCTGCTACTTACATATTGATAAGCTGTATAAAAAGCTAAGAGAACAAATGCACAGGACCTACTGCCCTTATTAATGAGGAGCTGGGATGTACTATGCTATG